ATAAATACTTTTACAGTAAGGTAATCCTATACAATTTGAAAATCAAGAAAAACTTGACAAAAGTTATCTGAACAAATCAAAATGAAATTCAATACTTCTCTTCTCTTTTTGATTATCTTTGCTGTTGTGGCTTTAGCAAGCCCAACTCATAACAATAATTTGGTGAAGCGATGTACTTCATTTATTATTATATTTACTATTACAATAAATATCATTATATTTGTATAATTGTTTTTGAAAAATTACTAACTATTGGATTTCATTTGATTTTAAATAATAAATAGAGTAAGTATTTTGTACTATTTATTATAGTCAATATCATTATTTTTGAATAAATATTAATTATTGGTTTTCATTTTATTTTAAATAATAAATAGTGTAAGTATTTTTTGTACTATTATTACAATCAATATCATTGTTTTTTGAAAACATATTAACTGTTGGTTTTCATTTTATTTTAAATAATAAATATAGACTGTAAGTATTCTCATCATTTCACTATTGTTACAGTCAATATCATTGTTTTTCTGAAAATATTAACTATTGATTTTCGTTTTATCTTAAATAATAAATATAGTGTGTAAGTATTCTCATCATTATTATTACTCCAGTTGATATCATTGTTTTTTTTGAAAGTATTAACTGTTGATTTTTGTTTTATCTTAAATAATAAATATAGGATGTAAGTATTCTCATCATTTCACTATTAATATCATTATTTTTGAAAACATATTAACTGTTGATTTTCATTTTATTTTAAATAATAAATATAGGATGTAAGTCTTTTCAACATTTCACTATTATTACAGTCAATATTATTGTTTTTTGAAAATATTAACTGTTGATTTTTGTTTTATCTTAAATGATAAATAGTGTGTGAGTGTTTTTATCATTTCACTACTAATATCATTGTTTTTGAAAACATATTTATTAACTGTTGATTTTCATTTTATTTTATGTAATAAATATAGTTAGTAAGTATTCTCATCATTCACTATTATTACAGTCAATATTATTGTTTTTTGAAAATATTAACTGTTGATTTTCGTTTTATTTTAAATAATAAATAGGCTGTAAGTATTCTTATCATTTCACTATTAATATCATTGTTTTTCTGAAAATATTAACTGTTGATTTTCATTTTATCTTAAATAATAAATATAGAACGTAAGTATTTTCAACATTTCACTATTAATATCATTGTTTTTCTGAAAATATTAACTGTTGATTTTCATTTTATTTTAAATAATAAATATAGGATGTAAGTATTCTCATCATTTCACTATTATTACAGTCAATATCATTGTTTTTTTGAAAACATATTAACTGTTGATTTTTGTTTTATCTTAAATAATAAATAGTGTGTGAGTGTTTTTATCATTTCACTATTAATATCATTGTTTTTGAAAACATATTAACTGTTGATTTTCATTTTATTTTATGTAATAAATATAGGCTGTAAGTATTTTCATCATTTCACTATTATTACAGTCAATATCATTGTTTATTAACTGTTGATTTTCATTTTATTTTAAATAATAAATATAGGAAGTAAGTATTTTCAACATTTCACTATAGTTACAGTGAATATCATTGTTTTTTTTGAAAAAATATTAACTGTTGATTTTTGTTTTATCTTAAATAATAAATATAGTTTGTAAGTATTCTTTCTCATCATTTCACTATTGTTACAGTCAATATCATTGTTTTTCTGAAAATATTAACTATTGATTTTCATTTTATTTTAAATAATAAATATAGTGTGTGAGTATTTTCATCATTATTATTACTATAGTCAATATCATTGTTTTTGAAAACATATTAACTGTTGATTTTCGTTTTGTTTAAATAATAAATATAGGAAGTAAGTATTTTCAACATTTCACTATTATTACAGTCAATATCATTGTTTATTAACTGTTGATTTTCATTTTATCTTAAATAATAAATAGTGTGTGGGTATTTTTATCATTTTACTATTATTACAGTCAATTTCATTGTTTATTAACTGTTGATTTTGTTTTATCTTAAATAATAAATAGTGTAATAGTGGTGTGAGTATTTTCATCATTATTATTACAGCCAATATCATTGTTTTTTTGAAAATATTAACTGTTTTCATCTTATCTTAAATAATAAATATAGAATTCCTCCTGTAAGTATTTTCATCATTTCACTATTATTACAGTCAATATCATTGTTTTTTTTGAAAATATTAACTGTTGATTTTTGCTTTATCTTAAATAATAAATATAGAGTGTAAGTATTCTCATCATTATTATTACATCCAATATTATTCTTGAAAAATATTAACTGTTAATTTTCGTTTTAGTTAAATAATAAATAAAAGGTAAGTATTTTATCATTTACTACCATTGCCATCGTTTTTGTAAACATTAACTGTTGACTGGTTTTCATTTTATTTTAAATAATAAATAGGCAAGTATTTTTATTGTTTACTAACATTACAGCCAATATTATTTTTGAAAAATATTCTGTTTGATTTTCAATTTATTTTAAATAATAAATAGGCAAGTATTCTCATCATTTACCATTATTACAGTCAATTGTTTTGAAAAATTATTAACTGTTGATTGATTTTTATTTTATTTTAAAATAGAAAATAGAGTAAATAGACTATATTCGCTCTTTGACTTTTTGATAACTTCATTTGTCTCTTTGACTTTTTTTACTTTCATCTTGTGTTTATCTTTCTTTTTTATTGTTGATTATAATTTTTACGTTACTTAAGATTCATGCAAACTATAATGTTTATATTATAACATAGGAAGCGAAAATAAATAAAACAGTTCATACAATAAGTGTTTATTATAATTTGAAAAGATTTATATGTCAATTTAAATGGGAATGAAAATGAATAAAGTTACATCTGATAAAAGAGTTAAATAATGATAATAATACGAATTGAATACCTTTTATAGATAAATATTAATATGTATGCTATATCTAAGATAATATATATATTTAGAAAAACTTAAGGTGAACCTTAAAAAATAAAATGTGTTAATATTAATATTAATGTTATGCTTCGTAACATTCTATTGTTATTAATTTAACTCATCAAAAGCTGCATCCAGTATCCTTAATTACAATATAAACTAGAGTAACGAGTTATATACATCAATAATCACCACCACCATTGAAAGATTTTCTTTTAGGAAACAGTTGGAATTAATATGATTGTTTTCTGAATGTCCAGATTGCCCCTTTTTTGAAATTCATTTATAATTATAACGTTTATTTAGACTTAATTGAATTACAATTTATATAAATATGAATATTATTATTAATTGGAGGAAACATTATATAAAATTATTAAGAAAATTATAACTCTTGAAATAATTTAAAAATCCTAAATCTCGATATTTTTTTAATATTTTTCTTGATCCATCATCACCTTTATTACCATTTTTATGAAGCTTAATTGTTAAAGGTTTGGGTCCTCTCCAATTATTCATTAGAATATTTAATGAATAGTCATTAATATTAAAAACCCCACAAGTACAAATTATTGATCCTAATTTTTTTGGTAGTGTTTGATTTAATACTGTTAATATTTTATCACCATCAAATCCATCAAATTCCTGCCGAGAACCATGAAGAGCAATATCAAATGTAATACTTTTTAACTTTATACAACTATTGAGCACTTCCATTAATTCCTGGTCTAATTCATCTTCATAAATTGTTGATAAAATTTCTAAATTTTTACAAGATTGTGCAATTGATTGAAGTAGTTTTCTCACAAATTTGCTATCTCCAGAATCATAATATTTATTCTTACTAACATCCAAATTTTTAAGAGTTTTACCATTGATATTAATAAAATCAGCCAAGTCTGATAGGAATGGTTGATTTATACTATTCATATTCACAGATTCAATATTTGGCAGTGAAATATTTTTCAAATTATTTAGTCCATAATCAATAATTGTTAATGATAAAGTTTTTAAATTTTTAAATGTTGGTATTAATAAATCATCCAAACTATAAGAAGATCCATAAAAGGTTATTGATTGTGAATGTGTTAATATTGCTTCTTTTAATTCATCTGATAAAATTTGTTCATTTCCTGTATCAATAACTAAGTATTTAATTTGCTTTTGTGCTTTAATTAGCTGTGCTAAGTTATATATTTTTTCATCATCATTATAATAATATATTTTTAATGATTGAATATTTTTACAAACTTTTGTTAATCTACCAAAAAATTCACCATGATCAGAACTAAAACATACTAATTCATAAAGATTTTGAAAGATATTATCAAATCTATGATGATTAATTAACAAATTACAATCAATGAAACTAGTATTAAGCTCTCTAATACCTGCTGAATGATCTAAAATAAATTCTATTAATTTATTTTGTAAAATTTGTGGTGCACCAATTTTTATCAGGCATTCGAAATCATGAAAATTGAAGAGTATAGTACTAAATCTGGCGTAATTATATAATGGCGGTTTCTCCAATAGTTTAAAAGTTAATTCAATGCAATTTCTAGTCAAGAAATCCTTATCTTCTTCCAATAAACAATTAATTAATATTTTGGTGCTGTCTTCACAAAGAAGTGGATCTTCCCATAAAGTTGGAATATTAACATTGTGCCATCGTTTGTTGACTAGAATACAAGAATGTAATGTTATATGGTCATTGATGTATTTGAATGTTTCAGTTAAAAGTTCAAGTGGAAAATTAAGCATTTTTAATTTTTGTTGCACAAAATAAATGATTATCTAAAATACTGAAATAGACAAAAAGGCGGACTTGGTTGAATTTATTGTACTAGCAATTGATTGAATTGACAGTCAATTAACTAATAATTTGTATATAGGGAATTAATCAAAGTGCATTTGTATTACTGTTGTAAGTGAAATTGAAATTTATAATTCAAAATTTTGGCGTGGGTGAATATGAAATTCTGATTGGCTAATTTGAATTTCACGGATTTCATTTTCACGCACAACATTACCAAGGGATCAAACTTTTAATAATCATCAATGTAATGGTAATGTGGTCGTAATATCTGTTTTTTACTTTTTTATTTAAGATTATTTCTGCATAAAAATAATTAATATAAAACTCATTTATATCAGGTCTACTATATAACCCAAAAATTATTATACAATCAAAAGTATTTTGAAAAAAGAACAAGGTGAAAAAATTACTCCCTATATTTTCAAGTTAAATGATACTCAGATACTCGAATCTTATCTAATGAAAGGACTATTTATGAAATTTACAAAGAATTTTAATACAATATATTAACTAGAATTTTTGATGTCTAATTTTCCTAAAAATAATAAAATATAGCCGCGTAACAATTCTTTCTGATCGTACACCACCAGATCTAAAAAAAGTGATTAATAATTATAATTAGTAGTATAATTATTATTACAAGAATGCGAATTTTCTACTTATTTCCTAAAAATAATTATTAAAAAATAAATAAAATATGGCCGCGTAACAATTATTTCTAAAAAATGATTAATAATTAGTAGTTATTACAAAGAATATATCATATTTAATATTAAATAAAATATGGCCGCATAACAATTCTTTTTGATTTCATTTAA